GGCGAGCGACTCGAGAGAGCTGCTTTGCCTAACATTTCAATGGAGAAAAGCGGTAGGTGTGGCCACATTTTGCTTAGCAACGGCTTAGCAACCATGGCTTCTTGACCAGTCACAGTAGTGTTTCTACTCGTAGCATCTTCTCCACTGACTTCTGCCTCTTCATTCTTTCATATCCTGCCTACTAGGTCCTGCTTTACATGATACAACTCTCTCTTTCCCTTCGCCAAGTCCGTGTATTTGAGAAAAGCGGTGAGTATCTTTACAATAGACGCTGCATTGCTTTATGCCGCTTCATTTACTATTATACTTCTTCTATCTAAGGATGAACATCCCATAAAGGCTGCTAGCAAGTTTCAAGTCTCGCAGGACAAGATCTTGAGAGATATGCATTGCTCAACTAGTACCACCAGAAAATTATTTTTATTCCAAAATTAATTTCGGTGTTAAAGGGTTAATGTAAATTGTACATGCATAATATACATGTACTTTATTACATGTACATGTACATACCCATGTATGTAATATACACATGCATGTAGTACTGTTGTTGTACATGTATGTACATGTATACATGTATATTTATACTTTTAGCTTGTAACATTGGTGAAAGATCCAACTAGGAAGCCATCAGAATGGGTCAAGGCACCTGAATTCATACCAGTAAGAGAATACACTATCGATGATAATAATAATATTATTATTATTATTATCTGTTTGCAATGAAGATTTGCTTATTATTGTTGTTTTTGTTGTTGTTTTTGGTTTTAGTTTCAGTTTCATTTTTAGGGGTCAGTATATCATGGTGGGCCCACAGCATCAAATACAGATCCAGTAAGTACAGTGAATTTAATTTTAAGCAAAATTCCTAAGCATTTTATAAAGTGTTATATTTTTGAGAAAAGCATAAACCCATGGTTTTTTTTCCAAAAATGGCTCTGAACTCACCCCCAATTTTTATTACATTTTCTGATACATATTGATGTACTTATGCTGTGTAGAAATTTTGAGTTGATTCCGACTTCAAATTTTTAAGTTACGGCCATTTTAAAAAATGAGCCAAAATCTGAAAAATACCCAAGGCTATAATAGCCCATGGTTTTTTTCAAAAAATGGCTCCGAAATCACCCCCCCTCCCCATTTTTATTATATTTTCTGATACATATTGATGTACTTATGCTGTGTAGAAAGTTTGAGCTGATTCCGACTTTAATTTTTTGAGTTACGGCCATTTAAAAAAATGAGCCAAAATCTGAAAGATACCCAAGGCTATAGCCCATGGTTTTTTCCAAAAAATGGCTCCGAAATCACCCCCAATTTTTATCACATTTTCTGATACATAATGATGTACTTATGCTACGCAACAAGTTTGAGCTGATTCCGACTTCAACTTTTCAAGTTACGGCCATTTTCAAAAATGAGCCAAAATCTGAAAGATACCCAAGGCTATAGCCCATGGTTTTTTCCAAAAAATGGCTCCGAAATCACCCCCAATTTTTATTACATTTTCTGATACATATTGATGTACTTATGCTGTGTAGAAAATTTGAGCTGATTGCGACTAATATTTTTTGAGTTACAAGTAATTAATTTTACAAGTAGTGTTATTGTTAATTAAACTCTGTTATTTTTAGAATCTTCTAAAAGATGAGGGAGGTTATGATGAAGGAGAAGACGAGTATTTCTTTTCATATTCTCAAGTTGCAATGCTTGGATTAAATGATAATGTACATGTAATGGATGAAATATCTACCGAAGACGCTTCTGACTTGGTACAAAACTCATTCCCATACATATACTTTGTATTCCATTCCAATGCTTCATGTTTCATTCTCATTCTTTAGTTGTGTCCATTTTATGAGATGGTTGGTGTATGCCCCTGGGATGAAAGGTAACCCTTATGGTTTTTTTAATTTACAATGTATCTCTTTCTCTCTCTCCCTCTCCCTCCCTCCCCCCCCCCTCTCTCTCTCTCTCTCTCTCTCTCTCTCTCTCTCTCTCTCTCTCTCTCTCTCTCTCTCTCTCTCTCTCTCTCTCTCAGTTGGAATACACTCATGGCTTAGAGTGTGACATGTGCTTTAA